ATTAAAATATACTGCTTATCTTTAAATAGACTTGAAAATGGGAAAGAAAATTAGGAGCAAGGAGGAGGAAAGAGAGGAGGAAGAAGGGATTGAAACGGATCAAGCTACGTGATGTGCATGTACCAAGTGCCCCAGAAGCATCACTTTTCTGCACTGCAAACATTCACTAAGTTTTTAAAAGATAACACTCTATGTACAATTATCTTCCACATACATCGTTATACAGGCTGCACTTCCAATGAAGTGGCTACACTGAGATGTGTGATGTGCCTGCACCAACTCCCCACAAAGACTGTAATCATTACGCACTGCAAACATGCACCAGTAGGTATAAAACTCAAAGGAGAAAATCAAACAAAACCAAAACAAACAAGCAAAGAAAGTCAGCATTTTGAAAAGAAAAACTCACCAGAGAAGAAAGTAACATAATTACTTCATGACTGTCCCACGCTCCCTCTGGAGTCCCCTGACCTCCTGAGCTCTGCCTGCGGTACTCAGTTCGCTGTCCTGATCCCACTCCTTGGCCTTCCCAGTATCCTTCTAGAAGCTGGGCTCTGTCTGGAGTCTTCTTGTCTCACAGTGAGCCACGTGCTCCCGGGCCACCTGAATTCATTCCTCATCCCCTCTTCCTCCCAAGCTCTTCTACCTTGCAACCTGTGCAGCACATCCTAGAGACCTCTGTCTGTGTCTCACAACCTTAAGTCAGAAGTCCCTGACCTAGGCTGCCAGGCAAGGGGCTCTGAACCCTAAATGGTCTGATGGAACCAAACTCTACTGTGATCCTCAGTGGACATTAGTGTCCAGTTCTCCGTCTTCCTCTGCATGCAGCTGCTGTCCCACCTCGGATATGGCTTTCCTTCAGATTTCAGCCTTTAGAGGGGAAGCAAGAATCTTCTCTTGAAAAAGTGTTCCTGGAGGACATGACACACCACAGTCTGAGCCCCATCTGGGTATGTCTCCATATCTAAAACCTGGCCTTCCTTCCTGCCCAAACTTGCCCCTTATTGGAGCCCAATGTAGACCAGGAGCAAGCGGGAAATGGAAGAAGCTGCCTGAGAGATCAAGATGGAGAGAAGTCCTGGAAGTTCCCCAGACAAGTCTTTCTTAGTTTCATGTGCAGGATTTCTGAACTTGTACTTGTGTGAGAGCTGGGCATTAGTGTGTTGGAACACTCCAAGGCCTAGAGTCTAGTGAATTGAATAGGGGCACCCAAAATATGTGGCTGTGTCTCAACCCTGCAGCCTTTCAATGTGACTTTATTGGAAAATGAACCTTTCAGTTGTAACTAAATTAAGCATCTTGTGATGAGCTCATCCTAAATTTAATGACAAATGTTCTTATAAGAGACCCAAGAAAATGAGATGGGGAGGGAGAGAGAGAAAGAGAGGGAGAGAGAGGGAGAGAGAGAGAGAGAGAGAGAGAGAGAGAGAGAGAGAGACTTGTGAAGATGGATGAAGATGGAGCCAGACACTAGTATTGCATAGAGAGGCCAGGGCCACCTGAGGCTGCCCAAAGCTGGAAGACACAAGGCAGGATTCTCTCATACAGTCTTTGGAGGGAGTGCAGGCCTGCGCTTTCTACTTCAGGCCTCCAGAAGTATAATAGAATAAACATTTTAAGCCACTAAAGTATGAATTTTACTTCAGAAAAACTCACATATATGGTCTGGAGCTGGCGTGGTGGCCACACGCGCTGATGGAAGCCCAAAGCCCCTAAACCAAGCACCATTGCCACCCCCAATAAGGGTAGCAGATGCTTTTTCCACTTCAGAGTAAACTAGGTGCCAGCTTCTATGCCCATCTTGACCTTAGGCAACTCCTAACATAAGCTTTTATTCAAATGTATTTTAGGTCAAAAGAACTGAACTGAATTGATATAACAATCCTCTACCCTCGGCCATCAGCACAAACAGATTGATTATGAACTAAATTAAATTCATTTGTAAATAATCAAGGAAAATTATTTTGACATAACCTAATTTTGTGCTATATGTTTTCACATAGGCTATACAAAATTTGTTGGAGAAAGGTTAAAAATAAAAAATAACAGCAGCGATTTGTTGAGCTTTTTCTATTTGGTGATATCTCCCAGGTAATAGCTCTGAAACTGCCTGAGAGCCAGTGATTCCCGCATGGCTGGTGGCGGGCAAAGCCTGTTTGCCACCCGAGGCCTGTGTCCCCAGGCACGGTGCTGTGCCCTACCAGGCTACCCCCACCCGAGCCATGCCCAACACCTCCATGGAGTCCTGTCAACTGCTGGTGGGATTCAGTGAGCAAAGAACCTCGCTATCCTTAAGTAACTCAGCATCTGTCTGGTGTTGGGTAAATAATTAAAAATAAAATCTCCTCCCAGCCCAGAAAACCTCTCCATCAATGTAGGAGAGAAAAAAAATAGTTTTATTATTGAGTAAGCACTAAACATCCTGAGATGGGCATCTTGGGCAACCTGCTAGAGCTGGCAAAGGCAGAAAGAAGGTTGCTGTTAGGTATCACCACATGAATTCCTATTTTGGAGATGAAAATAACTGGTCCTCATGTCGGAAGACCCTCGCAGTACCGTTTAAATACACTACATCCTAAATCTCCTGGTAACTGGGGAGGCCATCTATGGAAGTTGATTACTTGTAACCAAAGGAAAACTAAAGCTTCCCCTAGCTCCTCGGCGAGGTATAGTCTCCGAACTTGGAGCCCCGGGCCTGGAGAAAGGGACCGCCACAGAGAAAGAGACACAGAGGCACTATCATTCTTGGTGTTTATTTATGTTTCAAATAGGACCACCCCAAGTCTTTAAGAAACCCATTTCTGAGTTGGTCTGTCACTGAGAGACCAATTTAGCTTTAAAGTTTTATACAGAATCAAAAATACATAGTGACAAGTTCTCTGAAGGAAATGCCATAGGACAGAGAAAGTGTCCTTTTCACTTTTCCTATCAATGAAAGACATTTGTCTTTCTTGCTTGCTTCTTTCTTGCTTTTTTTTTCTTTCTGTGAAGGACTTTGTATTTCTTTCATCAAAGACTAGAGGACTGATTGATTGATTGATTGATTGATTGATTGATTTACATCACTGGGGATTGAAGCCAGGACCTTCTCACTGAGCTACATCCTCAGCCTTTTTAGTATTACTATTTTTTATTCAGGCTCTAATTAAGTTGCAAAATTCCCTAGACTGACCTCAAACTTATGATCCTCCTGCTTCGGCTTCCCAGAGTGATGGGATCATGGGCGTGCATCACCATGCCGGGCTTTCTTTTCTTCCCTTTTCCATTTGTGTGTCCCTTTTTCTGGAGAGGCTAAGTCAGGAAGCAGCAACGTTGGCTCAAGTGCCCAGTGAGCAGGAAGCAGATGTGGGGCGATGCGGCTCCTGAGCAGGACACCTGCAGTCTCACCCCGCCCAAGCTGGGACAGACATGCAGAGAAATGTAAATGTCTCCTCTGACGTTGCTTGCTATCCCTGTCACAGGAAAGGGGCTTACTTGGAGTGAGCCCTGAAATAAGCTAGAAATATGTGTGCTTTTGAGGAAGCCCGAAGCCCACTGAAGAGCTATCCATCAGTTTCTGCATGGTGATGTCTCTGATACTCACAAATCACCTCAACTTACCTTCATGGTTAGCTTCTAATATTAGCAAATGGGCATAATTTTTAAAAGGGCAGTTGAAAATAAGAATAGAAATTAGGAATGAAAAAGATGAGGAAATTATGTGGGCTTTTGGAAATTCCAAGCCACAGAAGAACTGAAAATTAAAATATTTTCAAATGTTATTGTATTTTTTTTCTTTCTCATATTACTTATTCTAAAGGAAGTACTTTTTTTAATTTGAGAAATATGAACTATAAAAAAAGATTTTATTTTTAACCTTACAGAGGTAGACATTAAAGCATCTCCTTCTAGCATTTTATCTACTCTTCCTTTTTATACAAGACTATTATCATGTATACTATTATATAATACTGAAACATAACCATTTTTTGATAGTGTAAAAATTCAGAAGTAATCTACTGCTACATAACAAATTACCCATAAGCTAGAGGCTTACTAACAGACAGAACTTGATCATCTCCCTTTCTGTGGGTGAGGAAGCTGGGCTACACTCACGCGTGTGTTTCTAGTTTAGTCTTTCATGGGACTATTCAGGAAGTTGGCTGGAGCTGCAGTGACCTCAAAGCTTTGCTGGGCAATAGTGTCTACTTCCAAAATGAGTCACTGTTGGAGAGACCTCAGTTCCCTGCTGCGTGTTGGTGGGAAGCCACGGTGCATCACCACGTGGACCTCTTCATACAGCTGCTTGAGTGTGCTTACCACGTGACACCTGGCTCCCACCTGGCTGCCACCTGGCAAGCAGGTGGTCCAAGATAAGGCAAAGTGAAAGGCATGGTGTTTTCCATTGCTTAGCTTCATAAGACATACCTTATCTTCTCAGTAACCTACCAGTTACATTATCCAGTCATAACCACTGCGGGGGGGGGGGGTAGTGGCAGGACTATGCACAGTTATGAACATCCCCAGCTAGGAGGAATGCTGGGAGCTAACTTGGACACGAGTTCCCACAATGGGAAACTTCAATGGCTGCAGAAATTTTATCATGTAGATCTCAATAACTTATGCAAGTTTAGACTTTATCTCCAGTATTTTAAAATTACAAAAAATGCTTCAGCAGGCACCTTTGAATATTAAGGCTTCATCAACACTTCACAGCAGATTCTCAGAATATGGTCTCCGAGATTGGATCATTGAATTAGAATTTTAAAAAATTTCTTATTTGTGTTGATTTAATGAAACAAATTGATATTTCATAATGTTCATTTCAGCTAGTGCATGAATTCCTTTGGTATATTCATGACAAGTGACTTAAAATGCCAGTGCAATGATTCATAGCTGCATGGATAATTTTCACTTAATTAATCCTATGTACAATATTTTAGGTAGATATTCTATATTATAGTAATATTGAATACTTATGGCACATGGGTGCTTTTCATTTTTATTTAACCATTTTATAGATCCTCCTGAGTTTGTTTGTTGCTGTTATTTTGGACAACTTAGAACTTGATGAAGATCTAAAGAAGCTCAAACAAGTAAGTAACATATGGGGAATTTTTTCATATAAGAATAAAGCAGGACTCTACAGTAATATTGGAAGTTGGAGCTTTAAAGAGTGAATTAAGGTAGTCTAACCAGAAAAGTGATGTTTATTTTTAAGTTTAATTTTTCTGTCATATCAATAAGGGAAATTTATCTTACATGGATAACTATCATAACTTTATATTATTATTTTGAGTAAAAATAAGATGGACATAATATAGTACATTGAGTATAATTCTCCTCATGCTATTAAATGAAGGTGGTTTATAAATCAAATACCTCAGAGCCAGGTTTCCATTTTGCATAATTGTATATAATATTTATCATCATCATCATCAAATTACTGAACATCCACCTGTCTGACCTTTAAACACTAAAAGAGAATTCTGTATGAGGCCAACAATGATTATAAGAAATGCAATACAGTAAATGATCAGACACATGCCCAGTTATGCATGAAAACTGACTTGTGTTATGATATGAGAATCATACCCCAAAAAGTAAATGGAAATGTGTGACATTTATGTTGTTAATGTCAGACAGATGAAAGATATGATCAACTATTCCCATAGCTTCTGAACTGTAGAGGATACTAGACTTGAATATTTGGCTTTAACAAGGAATATATATAAACCCTTTGAGAGGTAGATTTGATAAAGGGAAACATTGATTAGGATTTTCTTGGGTTGCTTTCTCCGTACTGCAAGCAGAGTTGAGATGCTGACAAACAGAACGAAGGCTCTGAAACAGTTTCATTGAAATTCCATGAAAGTCCTACACATTCAGAATTTTCAAAAATCCTTTTAGGCATTTTACCTTATTTTTATCCGATCTCAAATGAAAAATCAATAAGGAAAAATAAGACTCTAGCTGGCATCTGATTTACCATCTGAACTAAAAAGTTTTAATAAACATATAGCTCTTCACTTTAGTAACCATCATTAGTTATGAGGTGGCTTGCGAGATACTACAGAAACTTGTGGTCTTAATTACTTACTTATTGCCAAAAAACAATATCTGAATCCACACCCTAAGGAGGAAAGGTTTGTTTTGGCTCATAGACTGTAGAGCTTTCAGTCCATAGTCAGCTGGCTCCAAGGGAGGGCACATGGAGAGGAGAAAGAGCCAACGGCACAGTGGCCAAAGCAGAGAGAGGGATCAAGGGAGGAGGAGGGAGAGAGACCTTTCCAGCCACACCCCAGGGATGCACCCCCTCCAGCCCAGATCCACCTCCCAAGTCACCTTCAGCTATAAGCTCTTCAGTGGATGAATCCAATGGTGCCTATCATGCCCCCCTGATCCAATCACCTCTCCAACGCCTCTCCTATGAGCTCATGAGGCTGTCGGGGTACATCCAGGTACAAACCATGACACACTGTGTTTCTAGAAATGCTGTGCATCACACTTGATGATCCACTTGTGCTAGCCTACAGTTTGGAGCATTTTCTTTGAACATTCAAGATATTCGAGCATTGAAAACTCTAATCATAAATAAAGCAGCAATTTTGTCTTCATCAGTACTTTCCACATTGTTTGTTAATCATGATTGGACTAAAGCTACAGATCCATTAAAAATTATCTATTAATTTCATATTGGCAACCCATTGAATTTCATACTTGAAATATTTCAATTCTAAGTTCTTGATTTTTTTCTTCCATTTTTGCACAAGAATATATTGTTCTTTTACAGTTTAGCAATTTTTTTTATATTCTTGGTTTTCCTTATTTTCAGCTATCTTGGCCTTTGAGGTACAATAATTTCAGGAATCTGCAGACACATGTGGCCACATGCCCAAGTGCACTTGCATGCACATGTGTCCATAGTAATGTGGATTTCTGAAGTTTACACTGTCTTCTACAGCTTCTTGTAAATCTCCAATAAAAATGCTAGATGAAATATTTAGTTGGTTGCATGTCTAGAAACCCAGTTCTTTAGATTTAAATGAATGTACTCTATTTTTCCCATGCTCTGATGTGGGGGGAGGGGGCTTTCATTTTCTAGAAAAGCATTATGTACTCCAAATTCTGTCTTTGTTCAGTTCAATTTTTATTTTTCACTTTGAGGACTCTTAGAAATGGACTAAAAGTTTAAAACAAAAATCTGTTACCACTTCTACCTCTTCTGCAGCATAGCATCACGATGGCAGTATTTGCTGAATGCTTGCTCAGTGCCAAGTGACATATGTTACCACTTATAACTCACAACAGCTACTTACTACACATGTTCTTTTTATATTCATCTTACAAACGAGGAAAATAAGGCACAAAGAGTTACATAACTTGTCCAAAGTCACACAGCCTACAAATGACAGGATTTGACTGTAGGTAATTTGTACCAAAATCCTCAACTCTTAAGCTCCAAACTACATTGAGTCAAGCTAAATTTTATAGAAATGAGTCATGTATGTATTCAGTGGGGGCTCATTCATAGGACCATTAACATTTTTATAAATGACAATGTTGTACATAGCAAAGCCATCATTATATTCAAAAATAACTGTTTAGGGAAGCCTCAGTTCCCTGCAGAATGGAGGTAAATTAGGCAGTAAGGTCATTAAAACCATCCAAAGTAGTTATTTTTCTCCTCTAAAAAAGCAGATGCTCGTCAGAGTCCCCACATGGTAGCAAATGGTACTCTTGATACCTTTTCCTTGTATGACTTTCTTGACCCCGTGATCCTCTGTGGACATGAGTTACAAAACATTTCTGTTAAAATTAAAAAGTTGGTTCATGAGTATTTTTCAAAAGCCATGGGAACCTGTTCCAGTCACCTCGAACATGCAGAAGCTAACCGCAAACTACTCAGTACACCCGGAGATGGGAAAAGAAAGCAGGCCCATTGCTTTGGAGAGAAATCTCACTAGGTATTGGACAAGGTGGCAGAAGGGGACTAGGCAAGGAATTAGAATGGAGGAGCAAGAAATGAAGAAGTGATGACATGGGAAGCTCTCCAGATACGGCAGTATAGGACCACGTGCGAATGTAATGCAGTGGTAAAGGTGCAGCCCTGTAACCACATCCAAGTTGGGAATGCGATAAGGTCGGATGTCAAGTGTCAAAAGATGTGGAGCCTTTCAGTTAGAAGCCCAGAGAGGGCAAGTGTAGTCTGCATGGTTGGTTGTGTGAGGATGCCAATGTCCTTGACTAGAAGTGTAGTGTGATGTGACTTTTCCAGCTATTTTTATATACAACCTCCTTGCACTTTATTTGTGCAGGGTCTTGCTACATAGCCCCAGGATTACAGGCACACACCACCATGCCTGGTGTCAGTGGTCAACACCACCTGCCCACCTGAGGCTCCAGGACCAGCATGGCATGTGGTTCAGGGAATCAAACCCAGGTCTTTGAGCTTTCCAGGCAGGTGCTTAGACCTCCAAGCTATCTCGCCAGCCCCCTCCTTGCACTTTAGACTGTGGCTTCCAGTCAGGGACTGCTGCCCTCTAGAGATCCTACTGAGAAGCTAGGGAGCTAGGCAGCATCTGTAATGCTAAGGAAGCCAACAGGGAAATATCTGTGCCCTACCCAATATAAGGAGATGGATGTCATATTTAATATTCTCAGCTGAAAACTCGAGTCTAAGAGGCAACTTTGTTTCTTTAAAGGTGAAGTTCTAAAAGTCTCTTCATAGGAGGAGCATTGAAAAGTAGGACAAATATTTAATCTTTAATAATTGATTGTAATAAAAGGTATATTGTCATCAATCCCACTCAGAAAGCTCCTCCTTGCTTCGAAGATGCTTCTCCCACAATCTTGTCACTTGCCGCAGCGGTTCTAGAAGCCCTCTTTCAGGGTCATCTTCAGTTATACTGCCCTGGCTGCCTCAAGGTGTAGAAGCAATGCAAAGTGTTGACTTTCCTAGTTGTTTTGACTTTGGAGAACTGCCAGAAGCCCCATGGTGCCAGATCCAACACACAGCACGGAGGGCCACACATGGCGATGTCTCCCCCACTGCCTTTGGCTGGCACTCGGCAGCAGCATTCGCTGTGGCTTGGTCATAACTTCTAAGGACACTCGCAGAGCAGGACTTCCAGAACTGCCCCAGCAAGTGGCCCAAATGATGGCATGAGAGTGTTGCAAGTGTTGTATGGTATTAATGATAAAGATTTTTACTATAATAACTTTTATTTGATACAAGTATTCACATTTTTATCACATCTGGCATTTGCCTTCTTTTAAGAAAGAAAAGGTATGTTGACATTCTAACTGCTTGTTCAAAGTGTTTTGGTGGGGTTTTTTTGTAAAGAAAGATTTGTAGGGGAAAATAAAAGCTACTTGGGAAAAATCTTGAGAGGTTGTCATATAAGTGTCCGCTCTCACTGCCACTCTTCAAGATCTTCCCAACGCGTATCACTATGTGGCTTTCCTTTGTCATTCCTCACGGTGAATGATGCTACAAAATGTCACCCAGTCCTATGCTAACATAAAATTCCTCCACTACTTTTCATGTGTGCATTCCATTGAAGACACAATTGATTCCTCGCAGTCATAGTGCAATGGTATGCTTTGTATAGCTGCTATAATTTACACGACCCAATGTCTAATTAAGTAGGCTATGCTTCTCTTTTTAGCATTCCCCAAATGCAGTACAGGACCTGGAAATACACACACACACACACACACACACACACACACACACACACATGTTTGCTGTGGATACAACATTTGATTAGACGTCTGTGATTGTGAGATTATGCTAAACTACTGAGAAGACAAATCATTTTGTCTGGAAGCTGACAACAAAAACAATCAATCTTGGCCAAAAACTTTTCTGTGAACGGTAGTAGGAACTGATGACCTTGGCGCTTAGTGGTGGAGGGTTGACATCAGCAAATGCGGGTAGAATCTTACAGACTTTGAAAATGAAGAGAATTCTTGCTGCTTTAATGATTTTTGCAAATTCTGCTCAAGAAAGACATAAAGGGTTTTCTTTTAAGCAGTATAAAATTCATTAAACTAAAAGAAAAACTCACAGAGCAGCCTCGGGGAAAGAAGC